AGAACAAGATTCGACTATCCATCGATTCGAAGGAGTGACAAGCGGACCAGCGACAGAGCGACGAGCGCACCAGCGACAGTGGGAATCAATTAAACAAAAAAAATGCCAACCAAGGGAACAAAACAACAGCTCAAGATCCAGAGCATCATTGAAGGAAAGACCATCCTCACCAACCTTTCCTCCTTCCTGAATGAAGTCCTGGCCATTGTTGCCAGTGGAGAAAAAAGAGACTTGATAAAGCTACCTCTGAAGATCAAATTGATGACAAAGGGAGTTGGTAAAGTGGTTGACCTCCTAGACCAAGCACTCAAGTATGATGGAAATCTCAGACTGGCAAATGATCTTCTATCTGCTACAGTGGCTGAAGAAAAGAAGCAGAGAGTCATCAGTGAAAGGCTTCAGACATCTGTCAAGTTGGTCAACAAGAGGAAGTCTATGGTTCAACAGGTACTTGAGAAATCAATCAAGCCAAATACCCCTTCAATAGTATCACCTCCAGCAAAGAGACCAAGGAGAAGGTCAACCACAAAGTCAACCACAAAGTCAACTGATAGCATTGTAACAGAATTAGAGAATTATGAGAAACCCAATGTAGAAGGATCAAGGTATTGCTTGCGACAATTGGTGGTGCTTACTCAGGTTGACACAAAGAGTCCAGTGTTCAAATATTCAGTCAAGCCTCTCATGCAGATGTTGAGCGAAGGGAAAAAATGTGTTATCAACTATCACACTCTTCAAAGATGGATCAGGAACTACAATGAGAAGAGAATTCTCCCACTGAAAGGYGATGAGGGAATTAGAAGAGGAAGGCCAGCACTTGTGTCAATCAGCAATCTTCCAAGTCTGAACAATAGAGTATTGCAGAATTCAGGGAAAGTTGACACTCTACAGGATCTTTCAAATGACATAGGTAAACTTCATCAACAAGAGATGGAAGAAAAAGGATCCAACACCATTGGAAAGCCCACCTCTATTNAATTCTTGAACGGTAGGAGTAGTACGAGTTGTATTCATCTCCAAGTCCACGGATAGTTTGTCTATCATCTGATACCGACGGAACAAATGATTGTGCTTCTTGCTGCGGAACAACCAGAAAGAAAAATACCAAGCGAAGAGTAGAGACTCAGATTGGTTCACGCGTAGCATCCTTTTGGCACTGCGCATCCCGGCATGGCAGGCAAGCGGCGTTCTGWAGTAGGCGAGAATCGTCCGAAACGCAGCGCCAGCGGAAGCAAGAAAAAGAAAGTATCGGCCGCAGGCMACAAGAAACAAACATCTCTGTTATCATTCTGGGGCAATCAAAAACTCAAAAAACAAGAGGAGCATGGCACAAAACACAATCCAAAACCGGCCATCGCCCAGGACGCTAGAGAACGCACAAACCGGCCTCTCCCATCACCAAAGCTTGGACCAACGGATGACCCAATCGTCCCGGCAGTTGACGGAAATCCAAATTCAAACCAAAATAATGTGAACRATGCCCACAAAAGCGAAACAACAGAAGGTGTGACTTCCGCTCAGAAGCTGGTTGCAAAAACTCAATTGGAAACAATAGACACGACAAAAATTGAATCGCCATCTATGATTGTAACCGTCACACCGAACAAAAAGGAAGGGGACGAAATCGTTTGCCATACCATAGAAGATGACGATGACCACGACCACGAGGAAGCAACTCAACAAAAACCAACCAACCAAAACATCGAAAGATCAGGCGCTGATGAGAAGAACGGGGAGAGCTGCACCGAGTCTCCTCCACCAATCGCACCGAACGCAAGCAGCGRAGAAAGCAAACCGAAGCCCTGTCTTCCGAACGAGGACGGTTTGTCGGAATACGAAAAACTCCGGTTGCGCAACATCGAGCGCAACAATGCACGACTTGCGGCACTCGGTCTGCTTGCGCCATCGGATGGTCTYTCCAAACCAAAGAAAACCGCCAGYACCCGCCGTGCTCGTCCCCCGCGAAAAACGCCCGCGGTTCACAAAACACGACAACAGCCCCTCCGGAGGTCCTCGCGAAACCGCAATCCGTCCAAAGGCTCACGTCCGGCTCCACTGGACGACAACAGCGATCTAAATTTCGCAGCTATCAATGCGGAAACGAGCAACGCACCAGAGYTGGAGGAAGAGGAAGAACTATATACCGTGTCACCTCTGTTGCAGTACGAAATGGAGCGCCACCTGGGCGAAGAAAAGCGCAATTCTAACCCGAGTGGTTTGGAACCTACCGATRAAACCGCTTCGATGGACACTCCTRTAGGAACTCTTCCAAAGAATAGCTCTGCGGTCAAAAAGAAAACACTGGCTGCCCCTCCCTCGTATTCCACTTCTCTAGCAGTGAGCGGCACGCGCTTTCTCCCACCGAAAGGTCTCTCTGCCATCTACTCTCTTGACTTTTGGAGGAACAAAAGAAGCAGTCGTTGGTTGGTGGGCGCCGGAAAGGCCGGCATGATTGCATTGTGGGACACCAGCCAGGAGGTCGATCCTTGCGAYGCGAATGATTGTGGGAACGATCTTGCTGCGTTTGTGGATCCCGTCCTGTCCTGGAAGGCCCACAGCGGTCGCTGGATCGCCGACGCCAGGTTCGTGTCCGCACCAAAGACCGCCTCTGTAGAAACCAAGACAGAGAACGCTCCGTCCCGCCTCCTGACGGCCGGCAACGACGGGACCGTCTGCCTCTGGGATCTTTCGGCGGTTTCGGCGTCGAATGGAGCACCGAGACTGCTACAGAGGACCGGAAAAGAATACCACGGCAGCGGGATCTTCTGCATGGACGCGGGGCTCCCGGACCGCGCCGGTTCCGACACGGTGATCGCTACCGGCTCGAAGGACAAGACCGTTGCGGTGTCGACGCTCGGATCCATCGCTGGCGGYGGCGCTTCCGCCCTGCCCGTGTGGAGGTCCCGGTTCCACACCGCCAAGGTGGGGGCGGTGAGGCTCAAGGATTCTTCCAGCCCCCTCCTGGCGTCGGCATCGGACGACGGGATCGTGGCCGTCCACGACCACCGGGYGGAGGGGTCMWCSCCGGTGGCCAGGATCGGGGACGCCCACGACCGGCCGCACTCGGTGGTCTGGGACCCGTGCCACGAATTCGTGCTGGTGACCGCGGGGCTSGACCCGGTCGTCAGGGTCTGGGACCGCCGGAACCTCTCCGCACCGGTGGCCTCCCTGGAGGGACACGTCCCGACCCGCTCGGGCAGGATACGCAGGATCCACCGCCCCTCGTTTTTCGGGCTCCCCCCGAGCTCTTCGTGTGCGAGCGAACGGTTTTTGCTGACCGGRGGCCAGGGAAGCTCGTTCGTGTCGGTGTACCGGCTGGGGTACCCGTGCGATCCGCAACAGCCCGCGTCGTCCTCCCTCTTCAGCCGCGGGAGGCTTCCGGCGGACTGCGGCGAATCGGGCTCSATGGCGGTGAACGGCAGGGAAGTGGCCGTGGCTGTCGATCAGGGGAACGTCATCCTTCTGAAGCCGTCCGTTGCCCARGACGAGAGTGGCGCAATCGATTGATCTCTGGCTGCAATTCGAAACGGTTGTACGAGTGCATCAGTATCTTGGATGGAATGCATGCTTCTTTGGTCAAGAAGGGCATCGCTATCAGCTGGTCAGCAAAGGSTTTGGATGCTATGGAAAAGATCCCTAGGTCYATTGCTACTATAGCAAGCAGGGAGAAACGCTGTAATATTGGTGGAGAACCTGTTGATTGATGCTATCAGTACAACAACAGCAACCATCCATCACCATGCAACATGCAACTGAAGACGGAAGAAACTCCAATCTAGTAAAGTTTTGCCATTTCTTCTGGATGGACTTCAAGTTTCTAGTAAATGYCCATTGATATTCCTTTTCGACATTGGTCATAGTTATGAAAGGAGGRTGTGACATCACTCGCTGTGTCTGAAGTGTGTTCTCGCTCCATAATTTCGGGAACCCAAATTTGTTGACAAGAACTCAAATCCATAAAAATTTATTCCTAGGTTTCGAAACTATCTTCTATTGTTGTCTTTGATGCGCACAGAAGCATGACTTTATACTCTTTCTGTAGAGTTTTTGGATTGATTGCAATCCGTGSAGAACTATTTAATACAAGTAGTTTTACTGCTAGTACTACGAGTAGTAATAGGAGTCATCAGTCTTGAAAAATTCGGATCCATAGCCCGTCGCAAATAAACACTACAATAGTACCAGAAGTACTTCGCAGATCTTGCTGCGAATGCCTTGATTCCGACACCAATACGGGTAGTACTCGTACTCGTACGATGGTCCCAAGTTCGCCACGTAGGGGTTCTTCATTCTTCTTCCGTCAAGATTTTGGACAGTTTTCTGTCACGATCGATCACGAGAATCCATGCGTCATTTCATTTTCCTCACACGGTGGCTGCATGCGTCTCACGGAGAAAAAGGAAGCGGCAAAGAAAGCATTCTTCTCGCTCTTCGGGCTGCTCTCCTCCCTGCAATACGAACGACACCGTGCTACGTACTTCTAATTGTAGGAAGTACAACGCGTCGAGCACCCTCGTATCGAATCTCCTCCAACCCTTTGGCATCCTGTCGTTGATTCCCTGGGAGTTTCGGTAGCGACGATTGTTTCTCGTTGCCTGCATTGTTATCTTTGTTCTCCACCTGCCCCTTCCGACAGGTTCCGGGCCACGATCGCCGGGATCCCCACAATTTCCGCCAACGCCTTGCGWCCGAAGCACCGCTGCGCCAAAGCCATCGGCACCCCGCCGTTCTTTCGCTCCTTTTTCGTTTTTGTCCACCGACTGGCTGGACGGACCAACCCACAAGACCCTTTCGAGTGCCGCACCACAGCGCTGCCTCGATCATGACCCTTGCCACCAGGTTTTCGGGCGGCCTCCTCTTCTGCCTCCTCTTCTGCCTCCTCTGCTGCGCCCTGCCCCCCGCCGCGCACTCGTACGTCCCACCCCGCTCGCCGCTGGCCTTTGCCAAAGCGCCAACGCCCACCGCTGGGAACAAGAGCAGGAGCCGCCGGAAAAGCCCCCTCTCGGTCGGGGCGGGAGCGGACTACTTTGGGGAGCGGGAAGACCCCCCGGCACCCGCGGCGGACCCCTCGATCGAGGCCGCCCTCGGCAACCCGCAGCACCTGCACGCCAGCGAGTACGAGCGGGACGCCGAGTTTTACCGGAAGCGCAACGAGGCCTACTCGAAGAGCCTYCTAAAGGCTGCCAAGGCGAACGAGGCCAACTCCGGCCCGGCCCCCTCCTCCTACGGGATGCCGGGCGAGCTCCAGGGGGCTTCTCCCGCCTCMAAGGGCCAGGAAAACCCCCTCAAGGCCAGCTTCGACCACGTCGAGGCGTCGACCAATTCCCTCCTCACGGGCCGGCCCCTGGTGGCCCTTGCGATTTTTGGCGCGACCGGCATGCTGGTGGCCTACCTCAGCGGGTTTTTCTTTCTGGAGGGCTACATCGAAAACTGGAACCCCGCCGAGAACGACCAGATCCCCTACTGGGACGACGCCGAGATCCACACCATCCAGCGCGCCGTCCAGTAGGTGGGGTCCCGCCGCGGACGGCTACCGCGGGAACCGCCGCGCTTTGCAGGGATGTTCGCGCGCTACACCCGAGGCCGGGAACGAGGGARTCGTCCAACGTSGCCGCTTGCGGCCCGAGGTGCTGCGAAACCGGTGGCCAGGCCCCGGCTCGGCTGGGCTCGATCCGATCCGATCCACCGAACAAATACCAATGCTTCTGCGGTTTGGAATCGTTCCCACCGGCAAACCGACTCATGTACATAATACCGTATACACATGCACACATGCACACATACACACTCACAAACGAAAAGACTTGCGCTGTTGCATTCTAGGCGCAACCCAAGGAGTTCCAACTACGGACGAAAGCAAACGCGGCGGCTACGATCTAGCGTCCTGCTGTAAGAATAGTATAATTTTTAACGACTACCAGACTACATTCTAGGAAGCAACACTCAAGGAAGCGAACCGCCATTTGCAGTGGCTTGCGAACGGAGGACCGCGCGGGACCGAAGGCCACCACGCTGTCCCCGCTGCGGTTTTGGAACCGAGGGCAAAGGCGGCGTTGTGCGTCGCTGGTCGTCGCCGACCGAGCGATCCTTGCCGGGGTCCTCCCCGGTACGCCGGACGACAAGGCGGTGTGGACGGCTGCCGAACGCCAGCGGTGCCACACCTTGATCCTCCGGATTTTGGTTCGGGAGATTTAAAGCTGCAAATCACCGCGCCGGAGGGTGGCCTGGAAGTTCTKCTCCATACGCAAAGCCAGTTCTTTCGTGTCGTCGTGCTTGACGCTGACGCAGCTAACGAGGGCCCAGTGCTGATGGTCGTACATTGGTTTCCAGCAGTCCGTGATCCTCCAAAGGGGAAACTTTGTTTCTTCCTTGCCGGTCCAGTAGCAAACCATGCCSTTCTGCTTCAAATCTCTCGTAAGCTCGCGAAATGCATTCTCGGGAGAGGCATTCCCACCCCACGAGCCCTTATCGTTGTACTCAAACATCATAAACCGAATGTCTTTTATGAGACTCCTCATGAGGATTTTCAATATCATGTAATCCGCTCCGTCCGTAAGAGGAATGTCGAGGTAATGGATGGGTTGATCGGCCGCAACCTTCCCGTTGGTCTTGGGCATCTGGGAGCGGATCAGATTCTCGAGCGCCGYAGGCATCTTCTCCAGTCCCATGGTTTCGATGGCGAGTTCGTCGTCGGTGTACCCGGATTGTTCCTTCAGCTTCTCCAGCGACACCGCGGGCACCGGCATGTAACTCTTGGGCCAGTCCACGACCAGCAACTTGGCCGGCCGGGTCGCTGCACCCTCGATCGAAACGGGATTCAAACGCATCCCGAGACCGAGCTTGGTGGCCCACTCTGTGGGATTGTGCTTGGGATCTCTGGACCCCACGCGGAGGGTGTCCGCAGGAACGTCGTTGTTGTTCCATCCCAGCGACACCCCAAAGAACGTATGCTCTGGTTTCAGCTTAAAGTYGTCGCTTGCATAAAATTTTCTAGCTAGAATTGGATTCCTGGCATACTTGCTCGTGAGTGTAGCGGCCCTCGCATTCGGCCTCAAATGTTTGCYAATCATTTCAAGTTGTTCGGGTGAGCAAAACGATGGAAATTCCCCATTCTGCGGTGTTGGCTGTGGTGCTGCCTGTTGTGTTGCCTGCGGTGTTGCCTGTTTGTTTTCTGTTGCTATCTTTTTTTCTGGCTTCGCCACAGTCGAAGCCTCTGGTTCCCCTCCGTTGCTGGGAAAAAATAATAACAAAASACAAAGGAAGAYCGTCAAACGGAGGGACCACGGTGAGTCCTCTTCCTTGCGGCGATAAMSGCTTCGAGGAGTGATTTTTTTCCCGTTCACTATCGGAAGACCGTCGTTTTTCCTGACCCGATTCTTCATTTCGATCGAAACAAGTTCACTGTACTCCTCTACTTCGGTTCAGTCACAAGTTGTTGTTGCTGTGTTCGTTTTCGGTTGTAAAATTGACATAAATCCGCGACCCGTTTTGCTCTTGTTCCGTAAAGTACGTGCAGGGCCAAATCATGACCCCTACCCTGTACTTCTGTACTACCGGGACGGTACTTCGTACTAAAGTAAAACAGTTCTAACAGTCCATGCCATAGAGTATGGTACCGTGCGTACGGTGGTCATTACTGTACAGTAACTCGTCAAAGTTTGTTATGTATTTTTGATGAGCAGTCGTTCAAGTCACTGATAGAGTAATCGTACGATGCTACCTACCGGCACCGCAGCATGTGGATGTAATTTTACAACGAGTTTGGTGTTAGTTTAGAGTTAGGGATAAAAATAATTACCTCCACTATTGAACATCCGGGAAACACCCTATTTTCTCTTTTATTTTTCGCATTACAGTAAATAACGCACAAAATGTGGGGGATGAATTTAAAAGGGGTACAGTTACGTGCTCGTGGGTTCAGGAGGGCCCAGACGGAACATTCAAATTTAGCGACCACAACCGACCAGTACGGTATGATTTACAGGGCGCCGATGCGATCCGACTTTGCATGTTACGAGTACGTACGTTCGTACCGTATCGTATCGTACGAACCTGACACCAAGCATCGAATTCGAAAAATGATTTTTTTGAGTTGATGTGATCCGGTTTAGGTTTTTGCATGAAAAAAAAAGAACACAGATTTGCAGGTCACCAACGGCAGAATTCAAATGAATGAAACAATAACTTTCTCCAGAGCTATACTGTATGTCTACAATCTATGGAAACGGCTTGTCAGGGCAAGAAGTTTTCTTATCACCTAGCAACACTATAGAGGTGACGCAAACTATCGGTTCATTTAGTCTCAAACTTCACTGTACTACATCAGCGGTAAGAGGAAAAAGATCTTCTATTAATTTTGATACAATCGACTCGGCTTCATTCGCTAGCTCCTCTGGCCCCCTAAAGAAGAGGATAAAACGAAGATACTCTAGTGACGACATGTTCTTATCGCCATTCACTCCTGGTTCGTACGACTTTATTCCACAGTTGACGAGTTCCCAAAAGGGAGATGCCAACCGTGAACGTTACACCCAACTCCATCCCTTGCGACTACCTTTTGAGCACTTGCCGTCGAACTCTATCCCAGTACCTGAAAATTACAAAAACGAGAAGGAAACAGAGCTTRCAASATTATCGGAATCGTRCTRCAAGGAATGCAACAAGTACAAGCTAGATACTGGACTTACTCTTCCCGATGTGGTTGTGTCGACAATTCCGAAGGTACAAGAAACGGTGACCAAAAAGTCTTTCAAAAGAACTGTCTTCTCTTTGGGAAATGAAGGATCGGCATATGAATGCGTGTCGCTTTTTCCAATCAGGCGATCAATATATCCTCGAGTATCATCCCAAACAAAGCAATTGAAATGGTCGTCGCCAAGAGGAGGGACATCGGAGGCCAGACTACAGCTGAAGCTGCCAGTMCTTTCTCCTATCTCGTCTATGACATGCAACAACAACGATCGCTTTTCAATGCGTAACAAAAAAAGGTTTCGTCGTGATCATCAAGATAGTTACAAGGGATTTATTCGCGAGCAATTGGAGTTTTTTGAATCGAGTCAAGAAGTTGTCGACGTTTGCAAAGTTAGAAASGTTCCTATTCGAGTGGGGCAGGTTGCTTTAAGATGTAGTCATTGCTCTTGTATCCCACWTGAATGCCGTTCAAGAGGATCAATGATAGTTGCAAAACAGCATAGATCGTTGTACAGATATTTCGATAAGGGAATTGAAAGTCATCTCGAAATCTGCCCATTCGTTCCGGCATCTACGAAAACAAAACTTACGTATTTGCGTGTTATGGAACAAGGCCGAGACGCAAAAACATYCTGGGATGATTTTGGCTATTGGTGTGCACTAGCGAAGGCAGAAGGGGTTGTTGAGACCGAAAGCGGACTCCGATTTACAAAAGATTTGAGGAAAGGAAAAAACGAAGCTAGTCCCCCTTCCGACCAAAATGATATCGATRGTTTTTGAGGTAATAGAAGACGAGAATGTGTCTATGGATAGCCAGAAACCAYACAATTTGGGTGTACTGTCGGCTCGGGAAAAACAGATTACCTYACCAAGTAACCYCTTACAGGTATAAACAGAAACTGCAGATTGGGACCAAAATTAACGGCGTCTTGAGGATRTAGTTGCTCTCCCAGGTCGATCAAGTAAGAAAAYGAGAGACACTGTTCATTTTGAAGATGAATAGGAAGAAAGTATCGGCAAAGAAAACACTATTGTTACGAAAGATGTGCGAAAGTATCTGCAATTAATTGTCAGAAAAGAGAATCATACTGTAGGTCATTGGAACCGACATTACTTGAAGTCCAAAAGGCACTAGTAGGTAAGGGATGGGTCGRTATGCCAGCCAAGGTGTTTAAGTTTTAGCTTGATCGGARGCGTAAAACACGAATCGRCAKAGAGGACAGAACAGCCCCGGTGAAGTTTCGCCTGCCGGTCCGCTATGATTATCAACCAATCTGTACGCTTGAGGAGAAGGCGGAATAAAAAGTCGATCCAATCACTAGGCTTGATCGCGCTTATTGTTTCTCGGGTTGAAATAGGAAGAAACTGAAATAGAAAGGCCAAAACAACACAATGAAAATACCCGTCCCAATCCATACTACTATCGGGAAAGGCAATTGATTCACCAGGCAATGAATAAAACTAATAAACTATCTGAACCATTTGCTACTTCCCCGTATGTCTGTGTCTCTTGTTCGGTCGTGCGCTACGTGTTATTAAATCTCGTTTCCATCTAGGGACGAACGGGAATCCTGKTTTTGACAAGCTTGGGCGGTCCGCCGGGAAGGGCTTCGCTTGCGAACAAGAGAGCCGAGAGCAGTACTTTCAGCGACGAGAGGGATTCCTTGTTGCCGATCGAGAGATACCGTCGTTCGTCYGTTGAGGATGGATGCGTTCGTTCGCCAGTGGTTCCGTCGCTCGCCGCCAGAAAAGGATTCCTTTCTCCCCCGGCTCTGCCGCGGGCAGCACTTTTGCTCGTTCGCAAGGCCACGGCACGCCACGCCACGGCACGCCGCGCTCACACAAGGCTCACACCGACTCGCCGTCGGCGCCGCTCCCGTCCTTGTTGAGCTTGAGGGAGAGAAAGATGGACCAGAAGAAAAAGACGCAGTTCAGGTACAAGACCCGCAGCAGGGGAGGGACAAAGGCCAGGTTGACCACCGTGGCGGGGACCCATAGCTTCCAGTTCGCCACCATCGTGTCGGCRTAGTCGTCCTCCAGCTGCTTTCGGATGGACTGGAGGGTCTTTCCCTCCAGGAGGCCCAGAAAGGCAAAGATCAGCACCGTAAAGAYCGGCGCCTGGACGAACTGGTCGATGACCGTCTTGACGGCCGTCGTCGCGGTCCAGGGATCGGCGGTGGGGGGGATCGCCCCGTCCAAAAAGAGGTAGTAGAAGTGGTTCCAGGGCGCCTGCAGGACAAAGCCGAAAAAGGCAAACCGGGCCGTTCGGCCGGCGTCGATGCCCCCGCTGTCGGTCTSGGCGTCGGCGTCRRTCTTGGCCCCCTCGATCGCCTGCCCGGCCAGGTCGGCGGCCCCCAGGATGACGCCCGCGGTGGCGCTCTTGACCAGGAGCGGGTCGGTCTCCAGGGCGGCGTTGTAGGCCTCCCAGGCCTGCTGGGGGTCCAGGGCGGCCAGGCCGGTGGTGCCCGGGCTCCCGGAGCGGAAAGGGCCCGCCGCCACCGCCGAGGAAGGGCAAAAGGCCCCCGCCCCGGCCACCAGGAGGGACAGAAGCAGGCAGAGCAGGAAGCCCGGGTGCGGTCTCGGAATCGTCGTCATGGTGGTGTAGGAAAKRGGTCTGCTTTGGTGTCGTGGAGGATTGTGGGTTGTGTGGTGCAATGGCAGCGGTGCTGTGCTGTGCTATCTCCCGGTGTCCCTGGTGGAAGTACGAGTRCCGATGCGAGTATGGTTGTGCTCCGAGCGTGGCGTACGAGTACGGTACAGCACCCAAACGACGGGCACGATGMAAAAATCGTTCGGACGATTTTTTTCCGAAGATGACGATGTCGGACTGACGATACGAATACTAATTCATTCGTCTTCGGCTCACCCAGATACGTTTTCAAATCCAAACACTTGGGGGAGATCACACAATTTAATTGATTGAAAAAGGGGTGTACCGTAAGGCAAACAAACCGAGAAAGAACTATAGTAGATTGAATCAAAGGAGTCCACTATGGATGCCGTGCGTAGGGACTTTTCGGGGGCGGAGAAACGCGTTCCGAATTCATTTCGAAGTCGAAGCTGCAGTTTTGGTGGAGAACGAAGAACGAATCAATCAGTCAAAATCCGAAGACGCAGAAGACGACTCCTGTGTACTGTGTACCGTACCGTACCGTACGGAACATACGTACAGTACGCTACGGTACGTTACGGTGCGAATTCCGTTCCGAATGAAGATACCGGAAGCATCGCACGACGAAGAATCATGGAATCTCGATTTCATCCGTATCGATCTCGTCGATCGCCATCGCCATCGCCGACAATTACGAGTTCGTACGCACCCATCGAAGGAAACCCACYACAACCTCAGCGACCGCCCTCGATGCGGACAACCAAAGACCAGTTCCGGTTGAATCGACGCTGTGCACGGGGACCGACCGCGGCGCAATGAAGACCAACAGCACGGCCACCACCACCACCACCGCGGCCTCCCGGTACGGGCAGCGGGTGCTCCCGCTCCTGCTGCTGCTCCTGCTGCTGGTCGCCCTGCACGTTCCGGCCAACGGCCTCCCGGTGCGCGGCTCCCGCCACGCGGCCCGACCGCAAGGGCTCGCGGCCGAGGCCTCCGCTTCCCGGACAGAAGCGGTGGGCGAAAGGGAAGGCTGGCGGTCCCGCCTGCCGCGGGACGTGTACGCGTCGCCCCTGCTCTGGGACAGCCGGTCCGAGTGGGAGGCCTTTCGGGAGGGCCCCGGACAAGGGGAGAAACCACCGGAGGCCGACCACCTCTGGGAGCAGGTCAAGCTGGAGGCCCTGRCGAGGCTCCGCAGCGAGCCGGAGGCGGGGCCGCAGCTCTACCAGAGCATCCTGTCGCAGGGATCCCTGGTGGAGGCCATCGTGGGGATCATTGCCAGTGAGTGGCGTCGTGGTGCACTGCATTTCATTGCCGTGCCGTGCACTGCATTGGCCACAAAGGAATACCCCTGTGTCTGCCCTTGCGCTTTCGTTCCTTCGGTGTTGGCTCTGGCCTCCCATTTCGCGATTCCTCACTTATTTCCGATTGACTTCCCACGTTTCGTGAATCCCGTGCCAAACGACACAACACACAATACATACACACAACGCAACACAACGCAACACAATACAACACACACACACACACACACACACACACACACACACACACACACACACACACACACACACACACACACACCATCCCCCCAAAGACGAGGTCGAAACGGAGCTGATCCGGGCCACCGAGATCAAGAAGGTCTTTCTGGACGTCCTGACCGACGAGGACGCAGAGGCGATCCACTGCGACGCCATTGCCGCCGCCACCCGGAGCCCCAGCGTCGAGCTGGCGGTCCTGGCCGTCCTCTTCCACACGGGCCTGCACGCCCTGGTGTGCTACCGGGCCGGGCACCGCCTCTGGACGGTCCAGGGCCGCACGGGACTGGCCAAGTACCTCCAGTCGACCGTCAGCGGGCGGTACAGCGCCGACATCCACCCGGCCTGCGAGATGGGGAGGGGCATCTATCTGTGCACGGCGTCGGGGGTCGGTAAGAAGCCCAGCCGAAGCCGACGGGCGGGAGCGGAGTGGAGTGGAGTGGAGTGGAGTGGAGTCAAGGCGGAAGCGATAGAGCGCACGGCCCGGTTCGCATGCAACATTTTTCTTCTCACTTTTTGTTGTTGTTGTTGTTGTTTGCTTTGGTTTTTGCTGGATTGGTGGCTTGCTTTGGTTTTTGCTTGATTGGTGCTTCCCCTCGGCTTTGCCAGTCATCGGGGAAACGGCCACGGTGGGCGACGACGTCAGCATCCTGCACGGGGTGACCCTCGGCGGCACCGGCAAGGAGCTGGGGGACCGGCACCCCAAGGTCGGGAACGGCGTCGTCCTCAAGGACTGCTCCACGGTCCTGGGCAACATCGTGGTGGGGACGGGGGCGGTCGTCTCGGCCAAGGCCATCGTCAACAAGCCCGTCCCGCCCCTGGCCATCGTGGGGGGGGTCCCGGCCAGGGTCATCGACCACCGGGTCCTGGAGGTGGGGGCCTTCCGCGACGACCTGGAGGAGCACCTGGCCTCCAAGTACCTCGACGAGTGGAGGGAGCTGGAGGAGAACAAATGACCAAACGGCACGGACCAAAACAAAAGGCCGAACGATTGCCGGTGTGCGACGCATCGCTTCGTGGAATCCCATAACGATTTCGGGCTGCGCATCTCCCGAGACCACGTTGCCTGTTTCGACCTTCTTTCGGCGAGAAGCACCGATATTGTTGCTGTTAATCAATGCTCTGCTATTACTAGTTGGAYTGCTTCTTGACTGGAGAAGAAATTTATAGTGTTATTTCCTTGGTGTGATTTCCGTTTAGCAACAACAGAATCAATTCTGTTCTACCTGATGAAACASAGTACGCAGTTCGTACTTRATAAGTGTACYACTGCAGTSTACTTCAATGTGCTAGTACAAGGGCACCAACTAGTGGCATCATTTATTTAATTTACGAAATGGGTTTTCAAACATSGTTTTACAGTAGCATGGATCCAGTKGGCACAAAAGTGTTTTTCACAGGATTGCACATGATGATAAAATATCAACAARGAGTACGAAACTTGCTCACCACGAAGGCTGCCTATGCTKAATGCTGAACCCACTGTCTCGATGAATTACAAATACTATGCGATAGAAGGCCAACACAAGGAACGCGCAGAACAGTATTCTACTCTACAAACGGGYAGCTTCCGAGGGACATATGGGCGTAAGGAACATCGTTCCATCCAAATGATAGCATGCCCGTGATTGTGGGGGATTCAAGAATCATTTTTCTCGGGCTCGCAACACGGAATGAGACACAAAAACAGAGTTCCGACAATATCGGAGATAAAGTATCATGAAACGAGTCAAAGGATCCGTCCCGACTGACGGAAATGGAATGCGAAAGAAATCCTATTTCTAATTTATGATATGTTTTTCCTCCTGCATGCTGATTCGGTCCGATCGATTGCAGTTCGTTTTGTACTCGCACTGTATGTCCGTACTGTTCAGCGCCTTCGAAAAAGGCATAAAATTGGTGTGGTTTGGTTGTTGAATGTTTTGTTCCCTTAATTGCGGCRTTGCAGTGCCCAACCCATCAACAGMGGATCGATGATTCTCACGTCGTTGTGACACATCCGTGTATTGCTCTCAAGAATTGATCGTTTATTTGTCTTCGACGACCTCCAATTCTTCGTGGGCAAAGTTGTTGGTGTTGACACCGGCGTAGTTGACGCTGTCGAATCGAACGGTGACGGGGTATCGGGCCGATCCAGGCTTGTCAGTGGCGGCAACGTTTCCGCACTGGTTGAACCAGTAGGATTCCTTGCGCTTGATGCGGACCGTGGATCCGCGCTTGATGTCGGCGAGTGCCGTGGTGGACATGGCGCTGTTGCTGAGGGAGGCAGGGGCGAATCCCATGGCMGAGACGGCCAAGAGGAGAAGGGCAATGAGAGATCGGATAGCGAACATCTTGATAGTAATACAGGTGATAGTAGTAAGAATAATAGACTATGCTGTGTCTCGGTGTGGTTGATGGGTTCCTATCGCTGCTGGAATTGCTTCCCTTGTTGCTTCCCCCGGAGCACGTACGATTGCGTAAAACCGCTACTTCAAGCAGCYCCSTCACGTACGGCAGGCACGTACCGRGACACCAGGGGGTTTGGCACACCGAAAAGACCCAGCACCCACAACGGTACATCTTTTTTACGTCACGGAAGATACATTCAACTTGAGAGCGACGAATGGAATGTGTGCTGGCGTTCAGACCGACGACACACACGCTGGTACCGAAAAAAGGAATCAGGAATCTCTCTTTTGTGTTTCAAGAAATATATTTTTGGTTCGAATGAGTCGTCTTTGATTTTCGGAACTCTAACCCTAAAAGCAAGAATGCTCAGCATACTGAATGTATGTACRCTTACTATTACTGGTACTMGTATCTGGTAACCCAGCAGTGCTCTGCTTTTTTGCTTTTTTCCTCTKAAAAAAATTGATCGTGTTTTCATTTTCTTGACACAACTATGACGATTGCAACATCCTAGAGAAGAAACAAAGTACYACTCCGTACCCACCTAATCCAACCCGGAAGGACTGACAAAAGARGAATGGAGGACTGGTCGCCATTTTATTGCCTCCCCAGGGCAGAACTCACGCCATCCGGACTGCTCCAGCTGGACACCACCGACCACGAGGTGYTGCTGCTGCGGAGGTCCGGGGTCGAATTCCGCCACGAGGGACCGACGCCCATGGCCCCCCGACCMAGGGGACTCCCGCCGAGCGAGCGCTGGAAGAACACAACGCCGTTCGAAATGGTGCTGACCATCACGACCCATCGGTTTGTCTTGTTGTACAAGCACGATCGAGACAACGACGAATCGCAGGGCACCGGGCGCAACAACAACAGCGACATCGACGCCCGTCTCGTTCACTTGTCCAACGTCAGAAAAGTCGAGGCGTCGGGCGGTCCCTCCCTGATGAGTCCGAATTCGAGCTACAAGATTGTTCTGACGACAAAAACCTACGACACGCTGGTGCTGGTGTTTCGAAACAGCATCATGGGAGGAAATTCTTCCCGGAGCGATCGCGACCAATCCCTGCGGGAGCTCACCAAGGCACTGGAACGCAAGCGGTGGGAAGTCGCGAGCCGGCTGGAGCAGAAAAAGGCCTTAGAGGCGTCCAGGTTCAGCAGCAGCACCCTCGGGACGTCCGGCCACAAGGTCGGTCTCGATCGAATCCTGGCCAAGAACAAGGCACGGCACCAAGAAAACGCAAAGCTGGCCGAGGAGGCCCTAAGCGGAGAYTCCGAACACTTGTTGACGGAAGCTGCCGAGCTCCTGAAGGTSATCCAGAAGTACACCGTCCTRGTGCAAAAATTCGAGGGCAGCAACAGCAATTCAGACGACGAAGAGGCCGCCATTAAGCTGAAGGGGTGAGTGCTGCTTTGGCGTTAGTAGAGGTGTGGCGTCGTCTTGTGAACKGGAGGAACCTTGCGAAGCATGGTGACACTGGATTGCACACACGCGAAATAACAAGTGTCATGATAGGACAGAATAGAGTCGCAAAGAGAATACAATGCACTGGCAGTATGGTTTGCTTTGAGCTCCTCTCATCCCTACTTTTTTTCTCGCTTTCGTACTACTGCTTTGTATCTTGCACGCTGCTTYTATTTCTCGCGAACGAAAATTKAAATCCACAATCGAATTGAATTCATTCTGCAATACGTCCAGATTGCTGTCAGACATGGGTATGACCTCGGCATTGTCGCAATCGAAAATGGCGGGTACCGGCCCCAAGAGGTATCGTTCGGGGGCCGAGGAACAGCGTCTCAACGACTATCACGAGCTAACGGCCCGACAGGTCGCAGACTTTTTGGTTCCGCGCCTGCGCAAGAGTGGAAAGGGTATGATGTCGCTGACGGACGTGTACTGCCTCTTCAATCGGGCACGGGGGACCAACCTCCTCTCGCCGGAGGACCTACGGGATTCGTGTGCCCTCTTGAACGAGGGACTCAACGTGGGATTGAGCCAGAGGACATTTCCCTCGGGAATCGTCGTCTTGCAACTGGACGAGCTGGCCCTGAGTGCCACGAACTACGAGGCGCGCCGCAGGTTCATCGATCTCTGTGCCGACGGGAAAACCGCCCTGGAGGCCTCGCATTCGTTACAGCTTTCTCCCCTTCTGGCAGCGGAGCAACTGGAAGAGGCGGAACGCCTCGGGTGGCTCTGCCGCGATGCTACGCTCTCGACCGTTCGGTTTTATCCCAACAAGTTTGTCATYACCTTTTGACGAGAAAGAAAGAACGCCCGATAGGGACGTGCCGCAACATTGTAACGCTGCTTGTCTGTACCATAACAACGTGTATCATTTAAATTGCAACAGAAATCAGTAGTAAAATCCCTCAATAGTTAGAATACGAGGAAGTGATGATTATGCTAAAAAGAAAAAAGGGGAGGTGCAAGATGCAAGGTCTAGGACAACAATAGCTTTTGTTTCAAAGCACAACATCATCAAAGTACCGCGTATGAAACCCGCCAGAAGCAAGAATGAATGAATTACAACTACTACTAGAACAATCAACAAAGAAGAGCGCCTTGTAAAAGAAACCATTCCCACCATTAGGTACTGCAGCTATGTGACGTACGGTAGTAGTGACAGGAGAAAGATATAGATGCATCGGTGGAGACTTCCATCAGTAGTGTGCCATTGAGGCATGAAATGTCTGTCTGTCCGTCCGTGTCGCGGTAGTTTTTCCACAGTCCTGCCGAAGCAAATCAATCAAGATTGCACGGCGTTCGTTGTTCGTTCAGATTTTTTCGTGACAGTTTTTCACCGTTCGACACAACTTTAGAGTAGACTAACGAAGATGAGTGTTCCATTCATAGACAACGGATCGACAATCTCTAGGCTCTCATCGATGTGATACAGTACGTTGTGGGCAGCCTCATCAGAAAAGTACGAGTACTTCTTACCAACCTATTGGAGCGGGTTGGCGTGATTACTACACCCAGTTATTACACCCTCTTCATCACGCCGTACTCTCTGTCGARCTTAGCACCGAACGATGTCAACCGAACCGGGCAACGATCCATCGATGACGCCGGCACCACCATCCACTACGTATTACATTCGTCACTGCGATCCAAATTCGACCGGAGAAGGCCTTGGATCTCATGCACGCAGGACCCTGTATCCGTTGCTGCAGGTCGCCCTGCATTTCGGTTGGACGGTGATCTGGGAATACGATCAACAACCCTGTTGGAAGAACAACGAATACCGAGAATACTACAGCCAAGAATGCATGGAATTGGGACCCTGGCTTGGATTCGACACGAAASTTTCCGACCTTGACCGCGATCGCACCATCAACGTGCCCCTGCACATAGACGGCGACGACGCCAGGTTTGGAAATCTTCGGGGAGCTCCCGAACTGATCAACTTTTGTCTGGAGGAGTTCATTCGACAGCACGGCATGGACCACTTTGTGGGTCGCCAGGATCGGAACAGGGATTATCCGTTTGTCCTGGTTACTTTGTACGGAAGGTTTCATCACCAGGACGACCCATCCCCTCCCGTTCTTCAATGGATGCACAGGCGATGTCGGCAGTGGAAGGACATCGTACACCAACGACAACACGAATCGTTGCTGCTCGAGAGGAGTAGCATYGACGACGAYGRTGATGMAAACGACAGGAACTGCAGCAGCAACCATCATGTGATAAACACAACAAAMATGACAAGAGTATCCGACGAATGTAGTATCACAACGTTCGTTCCTCTAAACATCGTGGTGCACGTTCGTGTTCCCGAAGACATCTGTACCCAGGAGTGGAAGGATGCCAATTCCGTGTCTCACGTTCTMRCGGCACTCGAACAATTCCTTCGCCAGTGGAACAATATCAGACACGAACAACAACAAAAATCCAAAAAGAGTGGTTTGGAAGTCGTGGAGAAGTATACAACCAAATTACAGCTCGATGTTTACACCGAAGAATCTTTTACCCAAGCCAAAGAAGACGAATTCACAGCAGCTCTTTCAGAGATGCGTCTTCTTGATCACAACGGCAACGACGATAGCGCAGACCCAACCGCTTCTCCTGCCATCATTTCGCAGCTTCGATTCCATCGCCAAACACCCTTGCTGCCGTGCGTACAATCTATGGCGGTTTCGGACGTCTTCYTTCCGGCATCCTCGTACTTGTCTTCGATGGCCGCCTTTTTCCACACGTCTCTGATCGTCCTGCCMAACGAATCCACGCGRCACGATCCGTATTTCGCCACACACCTCAAGTATCGACGAAAATACCACYGCAAGGGTGTTTTGTCACGAGTCGATGTTGATACCGAAACTAGCGATGCTTCGATCTGTTCTGCAAATACCAGCGGTGGTAACGAATCGTCAACCTCAACAACAGCATCCTCTTCTYATGTTTGTCCAATTGTCCGAGTGGAAGAGGAGGAGGAATTGAAAGAAGCAACTCTCAGGCTATGGCAGGGTAAGACAAGATAAGAGTGACCAAGCAGAGACAGACAGCGTTCTTGAAACTTCACTGATTGTCGAATGTAGTTAATCGTCATAGCACTTGGTAGTTCTACTAGTCATACCAGAGGATAGTTATAGCAAGTAGCTGGAAAAAGAATTGGTATACATAGTAATGCACATGTMCTGTTAAGTTTTAAAAGAACAGAATGGTGCACTGATGGTACTACTAATAGGTACAAGTAAAAGTGAGGAGTGTATCATATTTTTACTGTTAGTCACACAATATCCTTCTCTTGCTTAATGCCATATGGTGGGTTGTGCAACTTTACTCCTTTCTTCCTCTGTTTTGGTAGTTATTTGCCCAGAATTTTGTAGCAATGATGCACATGTTGGTAAATGGCAAGATATTGTGAGGGATCAAAAAATCATTCCCATTGTAGTACTAAACACCACATGTAACCCAGATCYGGATGTACTAGTACTAGTGGGCACCCGGTTTTGAGAAGCAACTCCAATCAACTGTTTCTGCTGTAACAGTTTGCATCCATTTGCAGTAACAACATTTCCAAATTMTGTCTCCTTTTGGTTGTAATATGGACCTCCTCTTTTTGTGCTACCTGAAATAATTTAGCTCTAAATTCACAAATTATCCCCCCTGCAACAACTGATTTCTGCAACATTTTTGAAAACTGATGCAAACATTTATTCTAAGTTGCATCATGTTTCCACATTTGTTGAAAGAATACTGCAATTCTACAGGCTGTGGCATTAGATTAAATGATCARTTTCTAGAAAGAAATTAAAAAGCTGATATTTAGAAGTGCTCAAATCCTTAGTACAGCATTCCCGGGCCCTCCAGAACCCACACATCTWTCACCTCTTTGAAATCCAACATTTTGGGGCATGATTTTGTGCGTCATTTTCTCAACAGAATAACCAAAGCTTCTAGAATGTGAAAGCAAACAATAACCTACTAGTAGTATACTTTGAACCCACAAATAACCCATGAATAATCCACAAAAAATCTGTTGGGCATATTTCTAAACACCAAGATTACCAATTTGGAGTGTTTCCAAGCTCACTTTTTGAGAGTTCAGATTGGTGAAACAAAATCCACATTCCGACAATAGTACTATTAACATGGAATACAATCAAAATTGGCGCTCAATAAGGCTAACTACTGGATYATTGTCAACACCATAATTCTTGTCCATTTTGTGGTCATCACCATCTTTGTAACTGCCTGAAACAGGCTCTTTGGAATTGTCCTCCAAATACTTTGTGATCACAGACTGAATGCTGGACATCAGGTGTTTGATGCATCCTGACGACAAMACTTCTCACCTTTGGAACAGAGATCTTTGAACACATTCATGTTTTCAGTAAACCCAAGACTTGCCCTGCCCAGTAGAAGGGAATCATATAGGAATGCTTCCTCCTACAAGGGTTTCATCTTTTCCCTGGTGACATTGGACCTACGGAGTTGGTTAGTGCCCTCCATGGGAGGGCAGGGGGGCTCTTGAATTGGTTTGACATGTTTTGTGAATTGTGGCTAAAACAAATTTAAAAAAGGAACAATAATTCTTTTGTCAATTGACGCAAATTGRGTAACATGGGTTGCTTGCCCAAGGAAAAAGACTGGAGACCTCCAGGGTGGTGGTGGTTCAAGATGCACCATCTCCAGCCACAACCCATGATCAACTGATTAAAGTGATAGTGCAAGAACAAGGTTTCCATAAAAACTAGAACAATCAGGCMCAAAGCTTATGGTTTTTGACAAACAAATTTTTTGGCAGTACTGGTTTACTGATGGTTTGTTGGAATGGGAGGGGCTACAACAATGTGGTGTGTTTGGCAGGTGAGAAGAATATAGGAAACTGATATTTAAAACAGCTGACCATTACAGACAGACGTTGGCAAAASTGGGAGTGATCTACAAATCAATGTATCCCAAAGCATTCACAACCATCTGCGACCAATYTCACTTGCATTATGACCAGACACAAGCCATCAGGATTGCTGTTGGAGCAAACTCGACCATAACCATATAAATACAAGGGGTTTGGCACATGATTTCTAAAAAATGGGTGAGTAGTATTCTGAAAATAAAYGTTGTGATAGCATGGGAGAGGGGACGCTCGCTTTATGTGACATGGACACTACTAGACTGAACTTGAGCAACTTCACCAACTACTCCAATCACTGCATTGGCACCCTCCAACACCCCCAAAGGGATATTTGAATAAGCTCTTTTCTCTTCAGTGACACTGGCAATGAAGGAAAGAGACTTTTGTTGATTTCTAGCTCCCTCCCTTTCATAATCAGTGACCCTAATTTTAATCTCATCTTCTTTTAGTCTTTGCAATTGGGTCTCATCATCATCACTCCAAGAAAATTCTGGAGGGAAATAAATATCCTT